AGATACTTGATGAAATGGATCGAGAAAAGTGGACTTTGGCACATGATGGAGGGTCTCGACGCGGTCAGTTGACGACCAACTTGTCCGAGTCCATCAATGGTGTTTTGAAAGGTGCTCGTAAACTGCCTGTCACAGCTATTGTGGATTTTACATTTCATCGAGTGGTTAAGCACTTTATTAATCGAGTAGCGAAAGGTAATAATTGGGAGCAATCGGGACAACGATGGGCCGAATTTCCATTGAAGAAGTTCAAATTATGTTATGTTATGTAATGTTTGTTATGTAATGTTTGACTTGAAATAATAATAATAATAATAATAATAATAATAATAATAATAATAATAATAATAATAATAATAATAATAATAATAATAATAATAATAATAATAATAATAATAATAATAATAATAATAATAATAATAATAATAATAATAATAATAATAATAATAATAATAATAATAATAATAATAATAATAATAATAATAATAATAATAATAATAATAATAATAATAATAATAATAATAATAATAATAATAATAATAATAATAATAATAATAATAATAAAATAATAATAATAATAATAATAATAATAATAATAATAATAATAATAATAATAATAATAATAATAATAATAATAAATAATAATAATAATAATAATAATAAACAATAATAATAATAACAAGAATATAATAATAATAATAATAATAATAACAAGAATAATAATGATAACAACAATAATTATAATAATAATAATAATAATAATAATAATAATAATAATAATAATAATAATAATAATAATAATAATAATAATAATAATAATAATAATAATAATAATAATAATAATAATAATAATAATAATAATAATAATAATAATAATAATAATAATAATAATAATAATAATAATAATAATAATAATAATAATAATAATAATAATAATAATAATAATAATAATAATAATAATAATAATAATAATAATAATAATAATAATAATAATAATAATAATAATAATAATAATAATAATAATAATAATAATAATAATAATAATAATAATAATAATAATAATAATAATAATAATAATAATAATAATGAACTTGAAACATGATTGAAATGGAGAACGCTGTATACGGTCCCCGAGATCCCTCACTTCTGTATCTTCAGAATGATCATAGATCAAGTGCTTTGACAGAGTCTAATATGGATACGAGCATACGAGTTAGACGAAGTGATCATGGGATATGGAGTGTCTTTCATAGGCCGCACAACCCTCATCCTCATCCTCGGGTGTTATCTTATTTGGTCCAGATGAAGTTATATGGTGTATATCGATGTCGACGTATGCAAGCAGATTGGGCACTTATCACTGCATTAGTAGAGAGATGGCGCCAGGAGACTCACACATTTCACTTGCGTGTAGGGGAGGTGACAGTCACCCTACAGGACGTGGCGTTGATATACGGACTACCGGTTGACGGACGTCCGGTCATAGGAGTTGATACTCATCGTAGGACTCGTGAGTGGCAGCAGTATTGTATGACATGGCTGGGATTTACACCGGATTCATCGAAGATAAAAGGATCGAAGTTGAGCGTCAAAGCCCTTAGTGAATATTTAATCAATAATCCCGTTCTTGATAATAGTACATATGAGCATCTTATTCATTACACTCGAGGGATTGCTTTTCTCATAGTTGGGGGGATTATGTGTCCCGATCACACTGGCGACTCTATTCCGTTGATGTATTTGAGACATTTAGAGGATCTTGATGCTGTCAGTACATATAGTTGGGGTAGTTGTACTCTAGCTGTAACACCCCGAAAATGTGTAAGTTGTTCAAGTTTGGGAATAATTGAATTTAATTAATTGATATGTGTCGATATGGAATTATAATATATTTCGAATTTGATGGGAAGTGTAGAAATTGTAATTATCTAAAGTTATGGCATCTATTTGGTTATTAAGAAAACTATTTGGCCTTATACCCAATTTTCATAACTTATAGTTGAGATAGGAATTGACGTGTATATCGTCAATTCACAATCCTTCTATGGCAGCCACGTTTCTCTTCTCTCTCCCTCACCGTCTCTCTACCTCACCGTCTCTCTCTTTCTCTCTATCTTCCTCCCTCTCTCTCTATATTCCTCTCTTCCTCTATCGGCTCTTGGGCTGGAATTGCAGAAATTTTACAGCAAAACTCGAGTTTAGGTCTGACACCGTTCGAGATTTAATTCCGTTGATTGGGAGGTGCCGTTGGAAACATCAAGACGCAGCTTCCTTGTGGTGTGGATTTCACCGACGATGACGCGCGGTGGTGGCTGGAATCGGGCGAAGAAGTCGAGCAGTCCAGAACCCGAATTTCAGCGGTTGGTCGTTCAAAGAATTAATTGAACGGAGGTCTTAAGGGTAGAATCTCGACGATCAGGTCCCATCATTAGAAACCTTACGATGTTACCTTTCTGTTGGTGGTGAAGCTCGATGGCTTGCACCGACGTTGGTCACCGGAGTTTGACGAAGAAGTCACCCTGCTCGCTGCGACTTTGGGGAAGCAAAATCTGCTGCCGCACCTGTTTTCGGAGCCGAAATCGAAGGGTTTCGAATGCGAATTTGGAATCGGATCCTTCATGAAACTCGTAGAGGACATTGTAAACTATATGTAAGTGTTAAATTGTATCGAATTAGAGTATGTAATATGCATGTTTTAGAGGTCCGAATTCGATGACAGTAATCTGCCGGAAACAGGGCAGTTTTGAGTATCTTCTTGCGGGACTGTTTTCGATATGTTGGGATCGTAATTTGGGCTATGTGCCTTCATGAAACTTGTAGATTAAACTTCCAGGTTTCATTTGATGTATTATTTGGACAATTTGGATAACCATGCAATTTGTTATGATTTTTCAAACGGGCTGTGACAGTAAACGAAATTATCCGAAAATCTGGCAGGTTTATGTATTCATCTTTCGGGGTTGTTATTGACGGGTTTTGTTGTTAATTTGGGATTAAAGTCTTGAGTAAAATTGTAGATATAGATGTTATCTTTAATTTTATATATCATTTAGGTCATTCGGATAAGTACGACGATCGCAGTGATTATTTGAATAGAGTGCCACGAGAAGCAATTCTTAGTATATGTTTAAGAAATTGACTATGTCATATAGTGGATGGTAATATGGCTATATTACTGTTCGGAATCTTATTTAGTTCTAATATTTGCTTAGGTGTTGAGCGTAGTAAAGCTCTCACTCAAGGTTTAAGCTTAAAGATGCACCTATAGCACTAGCGTTGGACTCCAGGTGAGAAACTATGACTCCTTCTCCAATTTCTTTCCTGCGCATAATATCTCCTTTGTTTGAACCGAATATTTTGTATATATTGAAGCCTTCGATACCTTGATTATATTTGTTCTTGAAATATGATCCTTAATGTTTTGCGAGCATATTGTTTCCTTGGCTCGAACTCGGAACCTTGATCTTATTCTTGAAATCTTGAACTTGTCAATTCTCTTGGTTGCTATGTTCACGGCTAATTCCTATACTTGATTCCCTGGCCTGAACATTTTCCTTGAATCGATATTGAATAATATTTATTCTCAAAATCTTGTCTTGAATGCTTTCCGAGAATAAATATTTTGTTGGCTCGAACTTGAATCTCATGTTTATTGAATTCATTGAGATATTGATATACTCGTTCTTGGAATCCGATATTGAACTTATGGTTCTTCTTGACTCTCATATTCATGAATATTCTCTCCTTGGCTTGAACTGAATTCTCGAACATGTTCATTATCCTGATACTTGATGTTCGATTATCGTGATCATGACTTATCTTGTGAATGATTGACTTGATTCTTGAAATGAATGACTTGATATTCCTAAAAGGAATAATATTGATTCTTGAACCTACTGTCCCCACCCTTGAGGACGCTCTTGGGGGAGCTGGGCCCTAGGACCATTTCGGCAAGACGATCGGGCAGTATTGGGCTGACGATGACTGGTCTCCCGAATGGTACCTCCTGATGGTTCGGACTCATGTTCGTTTGGAGTTAAACGTTCCTGAGCCGGATCGGCACGTTCCGGTCGTGCCTCTTGCTTGTTTCCGACCGAGTGGCCACTCGGGACGGAGTGGAGGGACAAGGATGTGATATGATTTTATTTGTTGGGAGCTACAAGGTTGGAGACCCCACCAAATATTGATCTCAAGCCGTACATGTTACACTCTTGTACATGTTACACTTCTGTTAATGAAATTCTTGTAAAGTCTCTCGTTATATGTGCTGTTCACTTGATTCTCATCATACTCATGGATCATATGTTTTTCACTAAGTCATTCGGACTTATTCGTTTCTCCTTTCTGATATTAATGCGCAGGTAAAAGAAAGATTTATACCTAAATTTTCGTACTAAGAGTTAAAGCTCGTGTATGCCTCCGATTAGTCTCGTCGAGAGGTATCTCTATTTATGTTCCGTATAGGAATCCTTTGATCGAGAATTTTGTAATTGAGTAAGTAGTGTCGAAGTCGACTTGTAATAGAATCCCCTTTTGTAAACAAGATGGTATAGATATTGGGGTTTAATGTTTTGATTGTCGAAATTTGGAGGAGCATATTTGGGGTCATTGAATGTACTGCATGTTGAGTGGTGTCCCGCCACGGGGTGCCCGCTACTCGGGGCGGGGCGCTACACTAGCAGTCCTCTACCACGAGTTGTGCAAAGCATCGAAGATATCTGCAAAAGAAATCAGTGGTCCTGTTCAATTATTACAGGTAACATATGAATTACTTATATAATTTAGTACATTAATACATTTAATTTGCAGTTTATATTATAAAAAATTATATTCTTGTATTATTTAACAGATATGGGCATGGATGCGGATTCCTCCATCAAGGCCCATACCTACTCTAGCAAAATGGGGCACAACACTTGAGTATGCAGGATATGAGTTTCCCGTACCACCTTACGGTGCACGGTAATGGTTTTGAGATTTATGTTAAATTATTTTTGCATTATTGTTACGGTGATTTGTTTTTTCTTCAAAACATTTAATTACTTAGATTTTTTTCTAAAATTTTCTAAATAAAACCTTTTATTTTTGTCATTTTGAATTTCTTTATTTTTTTCTTAAATGTCTTCCGGCAGTTCAAATTCTCAACAACAATATGATTTTAAACCTTATCTTTATTATTATCTTTAGTTTAATATATAATAATATATCACAGGTGGACCAATCATGTCAGCTTCATTGAGACTGGTGCACATGTTCTTCGTATTTTTATGATGATGTTGGATCAGATGCTCCCAGATCAGTTTATATGGATGCCATATGATATGGATGATCCGGAGTATCAGGTTGTAGGTGGTGATTCGGATATCACATGTTCAGGTATATGGGTATCGAGAGTCCCCCTGATATGCTACGCAATTGTGGAGATGCATCGACCAGACAGAGTAGTACGTCAGTTCGGGATGGTACAACCCATACCTGAACCTCCTGAAAATACTGAGACGGATTTCCGGATGCACGTCAATGCTAACCGTACAGGTGCTACCAACCGAGACTGGAGTCTTACACATGTTTCGCATGTTACCGCTTGGGATAATAGGCTCAATTATATTATTGATTATCCATATGCCAGTGACAGTCAGACTACAGAAGATGGTTATTTTGAGTGGTATGAACTGCACACACGTCGTTTCATATCACCGATTACCCCATCTGATCGTACAGGATTTCAGGTTGGAGGTCAGATTTCAATGGATACAGTGGTACGTATTCAAATTTATTTATTATAAAATTTTGTGTATTATATAATTTCTATTAATGTATGTCTTCTAAAAATAAAATATTTCTTATTACTTATTTCAGATTCAGCATCTTCGATCGTTGATTGTTTCTGTTGATGGCGGAGACATGCCCCGGGATGGCTATCGTTCGTATTTACCGACTCTCAGAACATGTCTTAATGTCTTAGAGTCTCGACACGGACCTTCAGATAGGCCTCAATCTGAGATGCCTTATACTCAGACTCACCCTCAGACTCAGACTCAGATACCACTGTCTCAAATGCCTCAGTCACAGACTCAGATGTACGCTGGCGAGGCAGGAACTTCTTCTCGTGCATATTATCCGGCATTCGATAATTATACAGATCCTAGATCACACGGGCATCCATCTGGTATGTTTAGTACCTTTGATTTTATTTTTAATACTATCTACAACTGTGAGTATAATTATAATCTCGTTGATGCAGATCCGTACACCCCATACCCCTACTTTAATCCGAATATGAATTCGGAAGACCCAGTTCATTTGGGGTCTACGCATCAGTTTTCGTCTTCGCGACCGGTAGATCATCAGATCACACCTATTCCTTATTCTCAATCCGCAAATTCTTCGAGTGATGAGGATGAACAAGTTGGTAGAGGGCACAGGACTAGAAGGCCCCCGAGATGTGGCACCGGAGGTCACCGTCATTGGTGATATTATTATTGTAGTTTATGTTGGTTATTTATTATAACTTTTTAGTATTTTAGTTATTCAATAAAAAACAAATTAAATAAACTAAAGGATTTAGAGACAAAAAATATTTCCCAATAATTAGGCATTTTATTTTTATTTAATAAAATATGGAAATCGGACGGAATGGATCGGAAATGCCTTTTTTGGAAATTTTCCAATTTTTTCGGAAGTTAAAAATATGTTCCAATTTCCGTTCCAAAAAAATCGGAATTTCAAAATCCATTCCAATTTCGGAATACCTCGGAATCGACGGAATTTCGGAATTTTCGGAAATTGCATTAATTCTTAATGTTTTGTTCCAAAATCGGAAATAATGGTAATTTTTAGTATTGTTTTTTAATATTTTCGTAATTTTCCGGCAAAAGGCAAGAATCCAAAGCAAAGTTCAATCAAATAAAATTTAAACACTTGTAAAATCAACATAATTGATTTATCAAAGCAACTATAATTCTTGCAAAACATCAATAGAAAAATAATTCAAAAATACAATATATATATATATATATTTCCAACATGATTATTTCAAACATATATATATATTTCCAACATAATTCAAACATGATTATTTCAGAAATACAATCGGATCGGAAATCGGAATTTCCAATAATTTTATATGTAATTCCAATTCCGTTCCAAAAATAATCGAAAAAATCGGAAATCGGAATATCGGAAATTGGAATGAAAAAAAATGTTCCAAATTCGTATTATTTTATAGTGAATTATAAAATAAATTGCATAAATAAATGAAGGAAAATTTATTTATTATACAATATATAATTAATTTAAAATTAAAATTCAATTAGAGTATTATGATGTTACATCTAGAGAACCATTATTAGAGTATTATAAGTAAGATACAAAGACTAGTATATATTTAGAGCTATAAGTTGTTCTTGAAACTTTCTATGTGCTAGTACTTATACTAGATTTGATTTTCTATAGTCCTTTGAATAGGTATTATGTGAAATATTGAAATTCATGATGATTATTTGAATAATGTGTTTTACTCTTATGAGGTATAAGTATGTATATATAAAAGTATATGTATATCGATAGTTTAGACCTATGATGTTATAGGCGTACTCCCTTCGGGTTGAGGAAACTTATAGCCCATAGTTATAAATTAGAGTATATACGTATA